CTCGTTCTTCCGACCTAGCTACTGCTGTACAGCAACGCGATGCGGCCAAAAAGCGATGTGATGATCTTCGTCGCCTTCGCTTAGAGGGCTTCATGGAAGGCTTTAGCACTATCTCCCTTCGGTTAAAAGAGATGTACCAAATGATTACAATGGGTGGCAATGCTGAGCTAGAACTTGTTGACAGTCTGGACCCTTTCAGCGAAGGCATCTTGTTCTCAGTTATGCCACCGAAGAAGAGCTGGAAAAACATCAGCAATCTCAGTGGTGGCGAGAAAACCTTATCTAGTCTAGCGCTTGTATTCGCCTTGCACCACTACAAGCCTACGCCATTATACGTAATGGACGAGATTGACGCCGCTCTGGACTTCCGGAACGTGAGTAGTAACCCCTATTTTCTATTAAGGGGGAAAGTTTTAACTAATGAGACGATGTTTAGGTGTCCATTGTCGCGAACTACATCAAAGAGCGTACGAAGAACGCTCAGTTCATTGTCATCTCTCTACGGAACAACATGTTCGAACTCGCCGCTCGCCTAGTAGGCGTCTATAAGGTCAACCATATGACCAAGAGTGTGACAATCGAGAACCGTGACTTCATTGCCCGTAATGCGGTAGCAAGACCAGGCGGTCTCGGTGGTGGTGGTGTTACACAAACTGTGATTCGATAATTTGGTGGATGGGTATGGCACGGGGTAAGACGACTTGATGACGACTGAATGAGGAAGACCATGTTATGACCGGTCAACGAAATAAAGGGGTCGGCCGAGAGTCTGTAATGAATAAACAGTACTACGTATGGATAAGGCATTGGCGAAAGAGCGTTTTCAATGTTATTTTGATTTTATCTACTGTCTATCTCCTAAGGTCTAATCTGAATAGTCGGGGCTTTAGGTGGTTTCACGGTCCCGAGGGTGTGGTTTTGGGTATTTGAGCACACCTGGCCATAAGGAAAACATGCGGGAAGGTCCGTTGATAATAGGCTCCTTTCAATATCTTGTTGTTGGTCGTACCCTTACATCCCTCGATGGTTTGTATACAACAGCCTACGTAAGCCTTCCCTTGCTATCTCCTTGCAAGCCCCAGGATAATGTGAGTTTGGGTGGTGAATATCTTATACCTTGCATTGGTGTATGAAACCACATAAAATTTTATTGATTTATTATTAATTTTCTTTTTGGGAAAATAATGAAGTCAGCCCCGAGTTCCCGCGTCGTACTGTCGCTTCATTCCCCGGTGAAACAGGTGTGGCCCTTGTAATGCGGTACGGCCCTAATCGCGTGGACGGCCGACGCCCACGTCCGCACATGTTGTTGTGGTTGTTGCTATATTCAATGTCAGGGGTCCTCTGTGACACAGTAGGCACCGGAGCCTTCTGAAGAGCATAGTAGGCGTGCTAACAGCTACGATTTATAATCTATAAATATATTTTTTAAAATATTTATGTTATTTGTTGGGACGTTATTCGTACGTATAACATTCCAACCTTATTTATAAATATTTACCTACTTATTTTAATAGTATATTTATTTATTTAAAAAACCGTTCGGTAATTTAAACATGTGTTAACACCACCTCCCGGCTAGAAACGACGTATAATATAGTTTTTAGGCTGTTGCCGACTATGCTTAAGCCAGAATCTCTCTGCGCCTTTCCAAATTCTATCAGTCCAAAAAAATATCGCATTTAAATTATACGAGCAGACCTCATAGATGATGATATGAAATTTTCAGCTGTGATAGTTTACTAGGCTATACAGTTGATACTGAGGTGTGTAAAGATGAGTCGGCTTTTTAGAATCGATCGGTCGGTTATCGACACTCTTCACCTTGATGCTCTGTCGCCTCGCTGTCGCACCACGTATCATTCACGAACTGTGAGATTGCTGCTCCAAAGTGTAGTGATTTCTTTTCTTTCTCAATCTTCAAATGTGCTCCCTTTTCTTCATTTCAATTGCCGTTCCTATTAATCAGTGCCAGCTGATCACAACTCCCACGTGTGAAGGCAAGGGCGGACTTAAACTTGAGCAATCGGCATATTGCAGCAGCACCTTTTAAAACATGAACTTACACATGAAAGCGTTCGTATTTTGTTTCAGTCTGCACTTCTGGCCGCGAACTTTCTTTTGCACATGTTCCCTATTGACGTGGCCTTGGCCGTCCAATATAACAGATGATACATCGCTTCTAATGCCGCATATATTACCCCCGGCTACACCGCAGCATCAAGCAGAACCAAATGGATCGAAATGCTTGGACCCCATTCCTCCTCCTTCCTGTAGCTACCCTTCACAGAGTATTACCATACATACGTGTCTACCATGTTTGTCTAACAATCACTGAAAACATTACTTTCTTCCGGGCAAGACGAGATTATAAGGAGGGGATCGGATTGGCTACTCAGCAGGGCTGAGGTAAACACCTGCAGCTCCTGAAGTCCGTTCTCCCCCCTTCTCCCCTGGCAAACTAAGGAGTTCGTCGAATAAGAGGTGAAGGATTTCTAAGAATCTAAGGTTTTGTGCCCGTTAATTGGTCGCGATTGAGATGCTGCTGTAGGGATGTATGTTCTATGCGTAAGGGTCGGAATATCACCGCTGGGTTCCCCAGTTAGTATCCGGTCATTTTTTCGGTAGTATAGTATCTATAGCCGTTCCTATCAATTGACTGTTTGCCCTATTTCTGTTGTGGTACACATTCTTTCCATGTCATGACGCCAGGATACTCATGCTTCTAATTCCAAACTATAGCCTTGGTTTGCAATTTCTGCTATCATATATACCTATATCTGTGTACAGCAGCTTAGCTATTAGTTTATTTAATAAAGTATTAAAGTTTGTCGTTAATTGTAGAGTTCGATATCCAATGATGTTCCAAGCCAAAATAACTCGGATAATTGATCGTTTGCAATCCCTTTTTGGCCCCTTTTCACTCGATCTGTGTCAAACATACTGGACTGTCAGGCTGTGCCTGTTTGAGAGAAGCTCTGGTCTCGTTACTAGCTTCTGGCTAATGATATAGACACTGGCCTCCCTCGCACAACCGACAACATGATATCCCACATCCATAGTATTGGGAAATATTTTGTTGGGACAGGCTAACATATCAGTCACTGAGCCGCATGACCAGGTTCGTGCTACCATGCGATCTTCAAAAATGAGAGTGCAACTAGCAGTTATAGCATATAAATAACGCTACGAGGGCGTATAGCTACATATCGCACGCAAGTTCGTTTCATTAGCTATATCCGCCTCTTGGGAAATCCTTGTTCTAAATACCCCTTACTACGAGGTGTCATTCAATTCTACTAAGCAAGGCAACTCGACCTGATATACGCTATGAGCTCTGGCAATACCGCAGCCGGTGCCTCTGCCGGAACCCCCAGGTAAGACCTTGCCCATCCCTTACCGTATTCTCCTGTCCGCCAACGCCGAGTATTAACCCGAGTTATAGCCAAGACACAGCCGCCCCGCCCAATACTCCCGCTTCTTCTGCCAACGCACAAGGCTCTAACGTTGGGAATTCCACGGTCACGGTGCCGCCGCCGGCTTCTAGGGCAGCGGGGGCCCCTCCGCAAATCCCCAGCACCCTTGTCAGTGGCCCGCATGTCACAAACCGCGTCTATCGAGATGATCGGGGCAATATCCGGGTCATGCAAATGATCGACGATCCTCCTCCCCGTATGAGAGACCGTGTTAAAGAGGGTATCAAGGATGCTGGTGTTACGGTTGCCAACTGCGTTCTCGGTTGCTGCTGTAAGGTGTGCTGTGGGATTTGAGACCATCCCTTGCGAATTCTACCTTGGTTAGGAGGTTGCGGAGCGGCAAGATGTTAAGTATGAAGTGGTTTTAACAATGGGGCCGGGATCCGGAGGAGCCCGGAGGAACGGGAACGGGAACTCTTTTTCTTTTTCTTTTTTTTCATATCGGTCCTTCTTTTCTCCCTCTTTTGTCATTTCCCCGTTTGGTTTTCACTGCTATCCTCTCTGTACTTTTACTTTCTTTCTTCTATTCTTCTCTTCGTAGTTCATTTTCATTTCTCCCTTGCCTTTCCTGGATCTGGGGATATCCTTGTCAACGCCCTCCGTTTTACCAACCCCGCGAGGGTATGTTGGCCGACCTCACAACGTGATTCAATCAACTCTTAGGCATGCTCTTTTATTGTGGACATCGTTCTTGTTCGTAGCATGTTTATGCTCCTAGTCGATTTGTGAAGTATGTGATAAGATGATAGACATGCTGTCCAAACATGTACTGGATACAGTTACTCAATGCGACTTTTCTTGCATACATACTCTATTGTAATGTACATTAATTGGTCGTTGTATATGTAGTATTTTGGGCGATTTGGATCTCATGCCACGGGTTTCGCGGGTCTTATAAGGTCGCATGCTCTGCTTAGTGATCTAGATACAATTACATCAATTGATGGTAGACGTCGGAGTATGTATTGATTAGGTAAAGGTTGGTCTAGTGGACGGTGACGGTGGCCATTACAACATAACTTTTCTACTCCGGTTTTTTTTTTTCAAATCAATACATAGATTATAAATATTAGATGTCGCGTAAAAATGAATATAAAAATTCGTTTTCGGCTTTGTATTGATTATTTATATCAATTAATAGAACAGGAGGAAATAAGGTTGAGAACGTCGTTTGATTAAAGTAAACTTTTATGTTGCTGCAAGCCTTAGGCTTGAATACGCTGTTTAAGTAGGTAGCCTTGTGCACTAAAAATATTAGAAGCAGGGACTCTTGTTTGTACGAAGTAATAATATTATTTTAAAATTTATTTATATTAATCGGACGATAAATTTTAAGGGTGATTCCCAAAGTGATCCAAGCTGTAATTTCTAATAAAAACATGTAGTGCTGTAATAATCGAGTTATAGTAGGCAATTACTACTAAAAAAATGCAGAGCGGTAATTGATTTTCAAAAGCAGAGTCAAGAACGTCTCCCTCTTGATTGGCAGAATATATGAAATCGACTAAGCATACGACCTATCAATCCGAATTGGTGTAGTGGCTAACATTTGACGCTCTCATGGCTAGTGCCGTCAAGCCCGGGGTTCGATTCCCCGATTCGGAGTTAGTTTTTTTTTCGTGTTTTGTTTTTCATACTTTAATTGCCTTATCGATAACATTGACATTTTTAGTTGCCTAATTTTCTGCTTCCTATCTCATCTTGTCCTTTCGCTTTCTAAACGTATTCAAACCCGACTAAGACTTTTTCAACGTAATTAGTTTTAGCATAGGCATAGGTACCTAGTCTACGTACGTAGATGCTGCATACGTACACTTTCTAGATACACAGCGCAATCAAACACACCCTTGCCTGGCTAAGATATTCTATAGAGCTTAGCCCGGTTGCTAGGCGCATTGGACTGATGGGAACGGGTGAAATAAGAAGTCCGGCCTATTCCCAGGCGGGGCCTCACATACTAGCGGCCGGAGAGATTTCCTCCTGTTGGTGCACGTCTAAATACCCCGGGTCATGAGTTGTGCCGGCGCTGCAAATAGATATTTTCATTATCGTCGATCGATACCCACTCTGGCCAGCTGACGATGATAGATTCTTCCAGTTTCTAGGACACCAATTATTATGAGATCATAGGCATGGGTGAGAAAAGTAATACCTATTATCTACTGCGTAGGTAGATATGGGGCACAATCGATCAAAGCTTAGCCTCCCCCTAGATGCTATTCTCGCAAACAGGGACTCGGCCGTTCTGTTCTGGACCTCCCTCACTCGAAACGGCTGATCTGTTTAGTGCCTTACATAATTCGGGACCCGCGGATTAGAAGAGCCCCATTCATTATATGACAATTTCTGGCTCACATTCGTTCTAAGACACCTATTGTTTATGTGTAGTCTGCCTATAGGAGCCACAGTAATGATGGGCCCGAGTATTTAACTAACACGCCTGCTCGTCTAATCCTCCTGCTTAGGCATCATGAGATAGTTTAAGCCAACCACCATCAACTGCTTCAATCTAGGTACACTGATGCCACACCGTTTAGTGCTATATCTGCTGTATTAGTCACTCAGTCAGAGTGTTTGTGGACAATATGGCGCCTCATATTCCCGTCGGCCTAAGTATGGGCAATTCTCTATTCGTGGTCGCCGCTATCTCTACGGCGCTGTATCTTGCCTACCGCTGGGCTTTACCGACACCGATCCCTGGTATTCCCTATGATGAGAGTGCTCGAAACAGCCTCCTTGGAAACCTCCCTGAGATAGTCTCTATGCTACGCACCACAGGGAAAACACGGCCTTTTTTCATAGGGCATCCGAGACGTCACCAGTCCGCCCTCACACAAATCTGGCTAGGACCCTTGCAGAAACCCGGTTTGGTCCTTGCCGACTATCGAGAATCTCAAGATATTTTGCTGAGACGCACTCGTGAGTTCGATCGAGGTCCCGCGACTACTGATGTCTTCGCCGGCGTCGTCCCGAACCACCACATCGCCATGGCATCAGCGGATCCTCGTTTCAAGGGAAACAAGGAGCTCGTGCGAGATCTGATGACCCCCAACTTCTTACACGAGGCAAGATTACCCAGCTACGAGAAATGATAAGTCAGCTCACAATCCTTTAGGTTTCCGCACCACATATTTATACCAAAACGCTGGCTCTCATTGACCTATGGAATCTTAAGTCTGAGCTAGGAGAAGGTCGGCCGTTTAATGCACGTAGGGACATCTTCGATGTCGCGATAGATATTATAAATGCCGCTGCCTTCGGCCTCGAAGATGACCAGAGCACGGTGCAGCATCAATTAAACTTCTTGCTTTCCCAGCCGGGCTTGCGACCTACGCTTAATGCTGACGGGAGCGTTGCGTTCCCCCAACTTCCCCCCTTGCCCGATCTCGCGGCCATCGAGGCCATCGGAATTCACCAAGGAGAGCAGTTCAAGGTCCCGTTCCCCAAGCTGGTTCACCGCTTCCAGATGCTGACGAGCCCGACGTTGGCGAAAAACTTCGCTCGGAAAGACAAGTTCCTTTACGGCGAGATCGACAAAGCTGTCACGCGCCTCCGCAAGGGCGAGAGCGGGACGCGATCGGCTATGGACCACATTCTGCAACGCGAAATGAATTCCGCAGATAAAGAAGGACGCGAACCTGTTTTCCATTCGTCGCGAATTCACGACGAGGTGAGGCTCATCCCTGCCAAATAAAGTGACCCATTGCTGACAGCTCTTAGCTCTTTGGATATAGTGCGTGTTTAAACCCGTCATTCTAGCTCTTTAAGCCTTTGTTTCTAGAACAATTCATTATGACCGAGGACTGACATTTACTACAGTCGTTGCAGGGCACGACACGAGTTCCACTGCCTTGGCATGTAAGTGAACCCAGTTAGTTGGGAAGTCTCTATACCTCTTGCCTATTACTACGGAATGTTACACAATCAATCGTGGAACATCACACTAATCACTGCTGTTCTTAATAGGGATGGTCAAGCACATGGCAGACTATCCGGAAGCTCAGAAAAGATTGCGGGAGACTCTTCGCGCGGCGTACTCGGCAGCCTACTCAGAGGGGCGACAACCAAGTGTGGTGGAACTGTGGAAGACACAAGTCCCGTACCTCGATGCCGTTCTCGAGGAATCCCTGCGCTACAATGGACCCATTCCGGTGACCGTGCGACAGGCTCTCGTCGATACCGAACTCCTAGGACACAGAATCTCCAAAGGTACCTCAGTATTCATAGTCGCCGACGGTCCTGGTTACCGCTCTCCCCCTATTCCTATCCCGGAAAGTATTCGAAGTCCAACGTCGCGCGATAAGAACGTCTGCAGGGCCTGGGACCCAAGAGACATGCATCTATACAAGCCCGAGCGCTGGTTGAAGACGGACGCCGATGGAAAAGTGATATTTGATGCCCAGAGCGGACCAATAAATGCTTTCAGTCAGGGACCACGTGGCTGTTTCGGTCGGCGGTTGGCGTATCTGGAGACTCGCATTGTACTGGCGTTGCTAGTGTGGAACTTCGAGTTTGCTAAGCTTTCGGATGGGTTAAGCTCGGGGGACTCTTACGATACGATCACGACGAATCCCCTGCAGTGCTACGTGTCTCTGACTAAGGCCACATAAGAGCCAAATATAGAACGGGAGGCTTACGAAGTCTTATCAATACATATGATGGGGCGTTAAAGGGGTATAGAGGTTGCTGTGAAGCTGTATAACAGACGTATTAGGCTTTTGCCTAAGGTTGTTGGTAAGGTTTATAGAACACCCCCCTATTTTTACGATAAGCACTAAGTCTAGGCATGCTTCCTCGCTCATATAAATCTTGTATATAGTTATAAAATGCTAGTTATTTCAATATAACAGTTGATGGGTGCCGCAGTACGTGGGAATCTCAACTTTTCACTAGTGGTCCGAGTTAAAAGACACAAATGATAATATAGCAATACCAACTAGGAGCAAGCTACCCTACGTGAACACACTAGCATCATGAAAATGCTCCTCGACGCCGGTGCTGACCCGTCTCAAGCAGACTACAACCTCGTCGCACCATTACACACCGCGGCCAGAATCGGGAACCTTCAGGTATTGAAGTTGCTTCTAGACTACGGAGCATCCAAACAAGCAGTCGATAGTCTTGGTGAGACGCCGTATGATTGGGCTGTGAAAGCTGGTCAAGAAGGGTCTCAGAAGTTGCTAATGGGAGAGGCATGCGAGTTGGTTTGCCGTGAATTGGCTGCGGAGAAGCACGTCGTATATCAGCGACCTGTTGCCCATTTTCCATCACTCATGGTCGCCCAGGGTCTCTCCGCTCCTGGCTTGACGAATAGCGATGCATATCGGCCGCGATGCTTGTGAGGTCCCCTTGTCCGATACAGAGGGCTAAGAATTAATTATTCTATCTATGAAGCCATATAGGCTATACTACGCCCCCTAACTGCCCTTCTTCTCAGATGCATTTATTAATTTTAGTTCTTCTTGAAGATAGCGTGAGTTCTAGGTAAGTATAGTAGCTCTCACATACTCAGCAATGCAACACAAAAGCAACAAAAACCCCTATTTAAAGTACGTCTTTTTAGTAAGAGTGTCATTGATTAACAGCTCTAACTTTGCTCCTTATCATGGTCCAAATCATCAACGCGTTATGTATGGCAATGTGAGAACATGTACGTCAGGCCATCTCTCGACTTTGTCAGGTCGGAGCCGCTCATTGACAAATGTGGTCCCTTGGACAGTATCTAATGCATTTAGGAATGTTGGGAGGTCATTTCCAAAATGGCCGATTGTTGTCGCCGAGTTAATTCCGGTCTGTCCATCACCCCCAGCATGTATCCCAATAACCTCTATATCATTCCCATCCTTACGCCGAAGGACTGGGCTACCTGAGATCCCTAGTCGTTGTCAGTTATTATCAGTAGATCTATTCGGACGCGTGGAAAGTTACCGGCATATGTGTCGGTACGATACTTGAGTCCGGCATGTGGATTATCAAAGTCCCAATTTTCCTCCCTTGAGCTTTCGTACATGACTTCCCCTGCGGAACTACCAGGCATAGCTTGCTGCAGATGTGGCGGAATATCCGCTGGATACCCAACCATAAAAACTGTCTCGTTTTCTGCAGTCTTTGGTGTTTTGTCTACATAGGAGAATGTCTTAGTCTCATCGAAAGGTTTCTCAAGACGGATCATGGCGATATCGCAATCCATGTCCTGCTTCTCATACCATTCCTGATGAGTTAAAGCCCATATGCCGCGCCGCATCTCCATGCAGTTAGAGTCAGCAACCGTTCCCTTACAATAGCCAATGTAGGCTCGGATGTCAACCGCGCGCAGAGTACCATAATTCTTCAATTTTTCCCTCGATCTTATTGCTTGATAGACGCAATGCCCACATGTAACAACAGTCCTGTTGTCAATGAGCCATCCACTTGCACCAAACCAAAACGTCTCGCCAGGGAAGTTCTCCGCAGCGCATTTGATATACAACTTGCATATCCCTTGGAACAAACAAGTTAGCAAACCTCGCGAGAATTAATGAGGTTAGTGAGCAGCACACAAACCTCGATACTTCCCAGACGGCCCAAAATCGGTTCTCTGTACTTCTTCCTGTTTACTGTTGTCA